GGCGGGGCGCGGGAGCCGAGGGGTCGCCTGCTTGGGTTTGGGTGAGAGGGGGGGTTCAGGGCGGGGTCGGAGGTTGGGAGCCGGCAGGCAGGGGCGGCGCTCGGTGGCGGCGTGGGAGGGTACGGGGATGCAGGGGTGCAGGGGCGCCCTGGTGACGCTGGCTTTCAGAGTAAGGTTGGGGGCAGGGCATGGCGGTTGCAAGCTCGAACCGCCCCACGTCGAGTTCCCGGCCGCCCGCCCGCCACCTCCTGTGCTGCAGTATCGGCACCCCGGAGCGGGGCGGCCGACCGCGCCCACAGCACCGCGGCAGTGGGATGGTACGCCCTGGCCCAGGCCCGCCGTGCCAGGCGGCGCGGCCGCCGCGACGACGCCATGAGCATGAGTCAATCTCTGAGCTGCTGGCTTCCCAGGTTTTCGACCTTCCCTCTGCGCCCGCCCATGGGGAGCCACAGCTTCTTGCCCACTTGCGGCCCACCCTGCGTGATCACCTGGAGGCGGAGAGGCACCCGGGGCAGCAGAAGCGCACAGGCGGGCCGCCGCAGCTGTACCGCGCGCCCGAGCGCGGCAGGCGCCGCGCGGCACTGTAGAGCCAACATGCGTGCTGCACGCGCTGCGCGGCGGGGCGCGTGCGAGGCGTAGGCACAGGACAGCAGAAGATTGGGGTGTTGTTGGTGGTGTTTGTTGATCAGGCAGGGCTGGGTGACGCGGCAGGGGCCGACGGTTGCTGGCTGTGGTGCAGTCGAACGGATCTGGGCGCCGAAGCGCCGAACACATGCGTTGCTGCGGGCTTCCTCTCTGTCGGCCCATGTACACACTGATACGTATATATACTCCAACCCATCATTCATGTTCTACGAAGCGTGCAGCGGCAGTCACGACACCCAGGCTCGTCGTGCCGTCAGAGGTGCGTCCGCCCCACTCCAAGGGTGCCAAAGCAAACCTGAAGGATTAATTGCTACGTTTCACGCTTCACAGAATCAATCAGAGCTTGCTTAGCAGGGGTGTTGTGTCAATCAAGCGTCCGGCAAGCTCGTCAGCGTTGCTGTACCGCTGCGAATGTTGAGGAATGCATAACCTTGACAAACAATAGCCTTCAAGCATTGACACGAGACCTACCGGGGCCGCTCGGCAAAAGTCTGTAGTAACCACCTCCAGTGACCGCACGATTCACAGGCAACACGCGCTGGATTATTTGGGCCTGCGTTTAGCTTAACGTTTTTGTGTCAGCCAAGAGTCCAGATCAGCACTGTGCTGCCAGGCTATCTGCGAAACCGTGTCGGGCCTGTCCCGCTGCAACCATTGGTGCAGCTTGATATGGCCAGCTTGCAGATCCGAATGCTTGCACAGCAGGCTTCTGCTTCTATGCCTTCTGCAGCACCATCGCCACTGCACGCTTTGCTCGCGTTTTTGCTGGGTGTTGGACACTGGATGGACGGGATGGCACAACAATGACAGTGAGCACATCCTTACCAACGGTTGCCGTATGCGCGAATAGAGGGGAAACTGGTGATTTCAGATATTGGACCTTTGGCCCGTGCCGAGGCCCCAACTGCGCACTCTGTGCTGGGGCGGGCCAAACGCGTCATCGTGGCTCCTTGACCAGGTCAATGAACACACTGGGGGAAATGTCAGCTTGAACGACTGGGTCTTGAAGTCTGCCGAGGTGAAAAGTGCATGTGCATGTGGGCTGCCCGATAGGTAGGCCACCAGCACACACAGCGTGGGCAGCATCCCTCGAAACTCGCCACCCTCTGCAAAGGGCTTATGTGCAAGTTACCAATCACAAGGGACGCTGCCTCAAATTGCTTTACATCTGTATCAATCACTGTGTGATTGTTGCACAGTGCCAGTGCTGTCAATGCACGCCTGTGTGTGTCTGCATGACAGGGTGGCCACCAAAGGTAGGCCAGGCATCATGATCCAATCCAGGGAGCGTGTCTCAACGTTCAAAGTGTTCCAATGTGTATCACTCATATGAGTCCCTTGGTGTAGCCATTACCGACGTCGATCTCCGCAGCGTTGTCCAAGGACGTCAGAGCATTTCGCAATAGCGAAAAGGTCTAGATATTGCTCGGAGCTTCCTATAAGAATTGCGTGGTTTTCAGTCGCATAGCCTCGCACGCCTCGGAATGGCGGCGTGCCGCAGTGCCGGGGCGCTGTCGGCGTGCGTCACCGTTGCAGCCCTGTTGCTGCTAGCCTTACCTCCCCTGCCGGCCAGCAGCGCGTATGCATACTGCAGCGCACGGGTGAGTGCCACCCAGCACCTGCTCCCAGGCCGCCCGTGCGCCTCGGCATCGCCCGCCCGCACGCCCCACCTTACGTATATCTGCAGCAGCAACCCCAGTGAAAGTTCATTGACTGTTGCATGTTGCACGCAAAATCTGTTTTGCCAGCCTATCTGCACCCGCTGAACCACTGAGTCCTGCATTCCTTTCCGCCGATGCGTGGCTGTTCCGACACCGGCGCCTCGCGTTTGCGCACGCACGCAGGCGCGCCACCGCAACCCGTACGGCGCCGAGGCAGCTCACAACCTGACCAACTTCCGGACGGGGATCCTCGGGCAACTGCTCGAACTGAATTTCAGCACTACCTTTGGGACCGCCTCCCCTTGGTGGGCTCATTGTTAGGGGCCAGGCAGGTTTGCAAGAGTGCGGTGGCTGCCCCCAACGCCGGGCCTTCACCCCCAATACACCGCGGCAGCTGCCCTCGGGCAGCCTTCCATCTTGCCGCCGTGGGACCATTGCCTTTTCAGCAAGGATGGACATGGGCCATGTTCTCTCTCTGCCATGCTGGCTCACGCCGAGTGGTGCCGCCCGCCGACACGGCCTCTTTCGCTTTTTGCAACAACCCGCCTCTCACGCAGGCGCCACTACCAGGTCGTCAACCCCTTCCTTGCGTGCCCCCACCGCCACCGCGCGGGCCTGCTGCGCTATGGAAGCGGCGGGGATGGCGGGAAGCTGCTGTGTGACCTGGCGGCGCTGAGGCCCCCCTGCCTCGTCTACTCTCTCGGCAGCAACGGTGAGCGCTCGCAGCTCTGGGTGGCGCGGCGCGGCCCGGATGATGAGGGATGAGACTAGTGGGCAGAGAGACTGTCGAGGGGGTGCGTGGCGGATGGGTTGGCGCGATTGGGGTGAAAAGGGGGGGCGCAGCTGAACGCAGCGAGCGGTGGCATGCCGCAGGGCGACACGGCGCACAGCGTGAGCTGACAAGCAGTTCTGGGTCGGCTGGGTGGTGTCGAACGCTTGCTTGCCCCGAACATTGTGGGTGCGACACACCTGTGTGCGTGCACCCGCCCCACCTGCGCCACTTGTGCAGGCGACTACACATTTGAGCGAGACATCCTGGCGCGCACTCCCTGCGAGGTCCACACCTTTGACTGCACATATGACGGTGAGGGGAGCTTGATTGCAGCCAGCGCTGAGTGAACATGGGCAAAGCGATGGCGGCGAGTCAAGGGCGAACGCGCTCCATCATTGACGCCGTCGTGCCTGCTCGCCGACCCGGCTTGGTCGCTGTCGTGACGCCGGAACCGCCGATGCTGCGGATTTGGGGTAGGATTTGGGACGTAGCCGCAGTTGCGCCAGTGCAGGCCGCGTCCTGACCTGGGTACGCGGTCCCCATCCGCGACGGCCCCATGCACTTGCAGGCACCAGCGTCCAACCCGCGCGCCACACATACCACAAGACGTGCATCGGCGTCCCGCCCCGCGCGGGCGAGGACATCGGCGGCAAGCCGAACGTTGCCCCCGACGCGTCACCCGGGACCGCGCCTCCCTCGTCGCCGCTCCACGGCCACCCCCGCTTCATCGACGCGCACCCCCGGCGCCCCGCCGGCGCGGTCAAGCCGGCGCCGTCATCCGCGGCCGCAGCCGCAGCCGCAGCCGCTGCTGGCGGCGGCGGCGGAGGGGCAACCTTGGACTTCCGGACGCTGGCCGAGGTTATGGCGGGGCTGGGCCACTCGACCAGGCGGGTGGACGTAATGAAAATCGACATCGAAGGCCATGAGGTGCGGGGGGAGCCCCGGGAGAACGCTTGATCACGACTGATCTGGAGTGGTCTGACTGATCTGGACTAATCTGACTGATGTGACACGTGGAGCAGCGATCAGCAGTGACGGCTGCCACCAGTGGCTGCCCTGGTGGAGTCATCGCGCGCGTTCAACATGCCCCAGCTGCATCCAGCGCTGCCACCTGTCAATCTGACCGCCGCTCTCGCCCGTGCCGTTTGCCGCCCCGTCGACCCAACCCCGCCACCGCACCCCCTCCGTCCCACCCCCTGCGCCCGCGTGCTCCCTGGGC